ACAATTTGGAATTTGGCTGTGGGCTTAAACAATGCTAATTAGAATCTATGCTGAGCATGTGTTTAGTCGGTCCACTTGAATAAAATGTGTTAAAAATTCATTAAAGACATCAATTGAAATCGCATTGATTATTATTTTTAGTAGAGCAAAAATTTTTTTTTTCCGAAAAAGAGTAACGCTTAATTTAAGTAAAAGTTTATTTAAATAGCTGAACCTCAATTCATATGTAATACCTATCGGGAATTTATGCAACTTGCTTTAAAGCAAAATAGTATTAGGTTGTCAAATATCTCCCTTCCGCTTTTTTGCTCTTGGTTTTATAATACAAAAAGGCGGAAGGGAGATATTTGACAACCTTATACTTACAATTAGTTATATTATTTAATTGAAATATTTATCTTAATTTTCATCTATTGTGAGTTTTTAACGTGCCATAGGGTAAGTTATAGTAATCGTAAAAAAATCGAATATGAAAATTTCTATATATTCTACGTTTCAGAGGTTTCTGAATATTTTGGCATACCTTAGAAAAAATGGATGTATGTGTGTGTGCGTGAATGTGTGTATGTGTGTGTGTGCGTGAATGTGTGTGTGTGTGGATACGAATTTGCGTCGACGATTTTGCGAACACGGATCAACTGATTTGAATAATTCAAAAAACATTTGATAACAACTAATAAGAATACGTGCTGATTAGTTTTTGGCAAAGGCAGGTGAATTTTCAAATAAAATCAAAATATAAAAAAAAACAATTTTTTCATAAAGTAAATTTTTTTTTTCAAAATTTCTCAAAAATTTAATTTTTTCGGAGTTTTACTAAGTTTTTTTTTAATTTAGTTTTCGGTACGGGAAGTTCCAGCAATTTGCTTTAAGGCACAGTGCCATATACCAGTAGTTGTTGTAATATTTGAATGATTTATTATTAAAAGTTAGTAACTGTATAAAACAATTCTTTTTCCAGAGGCGAGAGCAGAAATATCAGGCCCAACCGAGAAGTACCTAAAACTGGGCTCCACTCTCCGACTGGCCTGCTCCGTGTCCAGAGTACGGAACCGCCGATCTACGTCTTCTGGTACCACAACAATCGGATGATAAATTACGATGGCGACCGCGGCGTCAACGTCACCACCGAGCTGGCGCTGAAACACAGCGCCCTGGTGGTGACCACGGCGACGCCCAGACACACGGGCAATTACAGCTGTGTGCCCAACAATGCGCTGCCGGCCAGCACTTATGTGCACATTCTGAATGGTAAGTTGTAGAAATTGACAGATAAATATAATTTTATATAAATTTACTATATGACCCGACAGACGTTGTCCTGTACCCATGTCTACAAATTTTTAAAATAATACACTAATTGGATAACTTTTTAAACTAAAACATCTGTTGTAACGGTCGCCGTAAAATTATAAATATCATTTCATTTAACGGTCAGGAGAAATTTTGTTAATCCCGTAAATAGGGAACGATCCTGCCCGGTTTCGACGGCTCATGTAATAAGGTTATAAAATAAGTCAATAAAATATATTCCGTCGGGCCTGAAATTCAGATAAACATTCAGTCTAGTATTAACAGTTATAGAAGAAGGACGTATTTGTAAAATAGTATTAAATAAATTTAACGTGAATATAACAGCACATTCATTTTCTCAAACAATCATCGTGGAGATTTCACATTTCGCCCGATTATAAAAATTACAGTCCACTCAAGAAGCATATCAGCATCGACGTCATGTAAATCGCTCCACTAATATTTACCGTGGTACTTCATGCTGGATTAATTAATTTAATTTTATATTATTTAAGATAACCTAAATTGCATCTTAACCTTCTCCTAATCGATATCGCGAGGGGCCGAATTGTATGTATTTATCTTTACTTTCACATTTGTTGTTATAAAGAAAAATTTTTACGAATTTTGAAAATATTGTGAAAAGATTAATAAAAGATGCAAAAAAATATATATTGAAAAAAAAAACTACATTGAAAATTTAATACCTGAATCTTGTGTTGGCGCCCCCTAAGGCGTGCGCTCGTATTTTTCGCATGCATCGCATTAAAAGTAGAACCCGCGCTGATGAATACTTAATTTCATATTTGAAGTACAATAATTTGTCATATCCCGTTTTTATGTGTATCATTCAATCTGCCATATATATACTATATTTTATATTATTTTAATTTCTGGCACATCTCTGCTGCTATTAAATTTATTATACATATTCTGATATTGTCTAAGTTCATAAGTGAATTGAAATTTTTGGCGGATGATAGTTTCATTTGTTTTCAATGCAAACAATGACATGTCGTTTTTTACAATTTTTTTCATTCATTTTTACAATATTGCACATACATTCCAGTACTTTATAATCACATACATCCTAGAAAATTTTCTTAAACTTCAGAAAGATTTATCGTAAACCGCATAATCGTTTCTTTATATAATAGCAATAAAGCCCAAATTGATTCTACGTTTTAGTTAAAAAAACGTTTGTATGAGAATAAGAAAATGCTGTTTTTAGGATTTTTCCGGCAATTATTCGACTTTTTCTCGCCGTAAGAACCATCCTTGGACATCAACAAAAATAAAAAAAAAAGAATTGGCCAAATTGGTCCAGGCGTTGTAGAGTTTTGCGGGTACCAACACATTTTGCGATTCAATTTTATATATAAGATGTAACTATAAACAATTTAGAAATAATCATTAAAAATTTTTAACAGATAATTTTTTAATACAATAATTTGGTTCGAAATTATAAAGGTTTTGTTCTTATTTTAATATATAAAATTTTTAATGGTAATTTTTTTTCTAATATATAAAAGTTGCTGTTTGTATGTTTTGTTTTAAATTCTTGTCAAATACACCATGCTTAGTAGAACACAAACAGTAAATTTTCGTTTTTTTACATTAGTAATTAATAATGAAAAAATTGAATATTACAAATAAAGTTAGTCATTAATATTTTTTCGCTTTATATTTCTACAAAAAACTAGTAGCAACTTGCATTCTGTTTTCTCCAAAAAATTAATTTGAATTTATAGTTAATATCGAGTAAATCATAAAACGTTTAGAATAAATTTTTAAATTTCTTATATAAATTTAACCCTTTCCACTCGGATGCCGCCACTCCGGCGGCATAGTCATTTTACCGTTGCGCTCGGATGCCGCCTCGTGTCGGCGACGACTCGTCGCAAACTAAACTTACATTTAATTTTTTTTCATTTTTTAAAAACTAATTTACTATTACATTTATTTATTGATTGATTTATTAATTTTATAAATAAATATATAACAAAATTAATTTAATAACTCATGATTCCCATAATTCTAATAAAGATCTGTGAAGAAATGATTTTTTAAACAGAATAGCATGGTTTTGAGTGCAATTTTTTTAAATTTTCAAAATTTTCTAATTTATTATCATAATAACTATATTTAAAAGCAATATAACCACACTTTGAAAAAATCCGATACAAAAAAAATTCCGAGTTGAGAGATAAGTATAGCACTATAATATTCCGAGCGCAGCGTACCGACTGGCAGTCCGACTCCCGAGTCGAAAGTGTTAATATTTAATATCATGATCAAAATTTTAGACTAACAGTGATAATGGAAGCTTAAATATTCCGATTAGTTTGAATTCTTACTGTGTACAAAAATAAGACCCTTAAAATTTCATAAACTTACTCACAAAATAACTATCAATTATAGTTAAAAATCATTAATAATTATATCATTATAATAAAATGATATATTATATACTGAATAATATAAGTATATATTATATACTTTTTCACTTATTTTAAATTTAATATAAATTTCATTTGGAATATAAAAATTTTGTTTAATTAAAAACAGTTATTTCAGTTGAATTGACTAAAGCAATAATATTATATTAAGAACTTGTGAAATTTTAATTTAGTGAAAACTTTGGTAATAAAATTGGTTCAATATTTTGCCAAATCATAATACTAGTAGTTAATAATTAAAGTTTCAAGTATTTAATACTTCAAAAAAAAGCTGCATACATTTCGTATTGCGTATTTCTAAGCAAAGTTGTAAGATTTCATCCGTTGATGACTTTGTCTGAATTCATTTGTTAACAATGTATGTAAAACCAGAGCTCATTTCCTAGTCGAACAAATTCCTTGCAGAAAAACAATGTTTTGATCTTTATTTACAAAACACAAAGTAGATATCGTACGTGTTAAGAATCCCGAATAAGATATTTCGAATAATACTGAGAAGAAGAAAATAAATAGGATGATGGTGGTGTTGGTGGTGTTGGTGGTGTAGGAGATGTGTATTCAAACTAGCCAAGCGGGAAAACATTTCTGTGTAAATGACACCTTGTCAGACACGCGCCTGTAAACTTATCACAAAAAGTCTTAGACGCAGACCTACAACAGTTTGAACGAAGGTTCTAACACTTTAGTACGAAATTTCTATGTAAAAAAATATTAGCAAATATAATAAAGACACCTTTCAATAGCACTATGAAAGAAAACATGCATCTGTTTTTATGTTCCTGTATGGCAAGTTATAGTAATCGCAAAAAATTTTTGCATATCTTTACGTTTCAGAACTTTCTGAACATTTTGGCATACCTTATAAAAAATGGATGTATGTGTATGTGTATATGTGTGTGCGTGTATCTACGTAAGTGCGGATACAAATTTTCATCGACGATTTTGCATCAAACGATTTAACCCTTTTCACTCGCGAATTCCGAGATCTATATGAGTTTTGCCTACGGCATCCGATTCAAAAATGTTAAACGGTTGAACAAACCATTTGATTTCTATTGATGGGGATACGTGCTAATTACTTTTTGGCTGAATTTTAAACAGATTTTAATAATAACAAATTTTGATCATTTTGTTATGGGTTCCGTAGTAATGTTTATTCGTAATTCGATATTTTGTCTTTAAAATATCTTTGTAACTTGATTGCTTTCAAAACTAGTGGTTAATGGCATCGTGCCTCAAGACAAATTGCTAAAAATTCCTGCACCAAAAATTTAAATTTTCTAAAAAGATTTTAATTTTTTTTACACATTGAAAAAAATTGATTTTCGAGAAATTTGAAAAACTAGATTTTTTTTAAATCGTTTTTTTTTTTTAAATTTTGAACTTTATTTCACGCGTGGCAATTTTGGAGATAAAATATCGAAACGCGTAAACGGCACGTCGCAGATAAAGAATAAATATCAGTACAGAACCCATAAAAATATAAACATTTTTTATATATATAATATTATTATTTGAATTTGTATAAAATATTTGATAATTTGATGTGCATATGTCTAATAACCGCCAAATGGTATTTTTGGTAATTTTTTGACCTGCCTTCCCAAAAATTTACCAAGTTTTTTTCTTTGTCAATGCAAATAAAATGCTTTTTGAATCTTAAATAGAACGCTGCCTTCTCTAAAAAACTAAGTCACTTTTTGCTCCGTATATTCCAAACGGCTAGACCTGCCTTTGCCAAAAACTAATCAGCACGTCTCCTTATCGATAGGAATCAAATATGTTTTGAATCACTCATCAACCGAGATCCGTGTTCTCGAAATCGTCGACAAAAATTTGTATCCGCACATACATACACACACATAGACATGCATTTTTATAAGGTATGCAAAAATATTCAGAAACCTTCAAAATATAAAAATATATAAAAAATTTCATTGTCGAAAGTTAAAATTTCAAAATTTTCAAGAAAAATTAATAAAAAAATCTAATTAAAAAAAACATTTTTTTCTTTAAATTGTCAAAATTTTTCAAAAATCGTATTTTTAACTTTCCGTAGGGTTGTTATAGTAATGAGTCGAAAATAAAAAATTTTGCATTTCTCGACGTTTTGAAGGTTTCTGAACATTTCGGCATACCAAAGAAAAAATGAATGTGTGTGTGTGTTTTGTATGTCCGCATTCTTTCGTCCACGTTTTCGGGCGCACGGATCAACCGATTTAAATGGTTGAAAAAACATTCGATTCCTATTGATAGGTAGATGTGCTGATTAGTTTTTGGCTAAGGCAAGTCCAGCCGTTACGGAGATACGGAGCAAAGAGTGCAGAAAATAGAAATCGAGTTTTTTGAGAGGACGGAGCATCTGATTTGAATGATTTAAAAAACATTCTATTTAAAATAATTGGGAAAAGAGGTGATTAGTTTTTGGCGGAAGATATAGAGCTAAATGTGCAAACAATGGCAGTTTTTGAGAGAACTAAGCGTCTGATTTGAATGATT